TTATAACAAGGCTCTGAGGTGGTCGGGAGTAGAGGAAGGGTCCTCTGAGGCAGAGGTGTTAAGCCAAGGCCTGAGAGTGAGCAGGAGTTATCTAGGCACAGGGTCAGGGTGGCGGGCGTGTTCCATGTAGGGAGGGGCACAAGGCTGAGGAGCTGTGAGAGGGCAGGTGTCCTGAGAGGGAGGGGCGGAGAGAGGGTGACAGGGCTGTGGCCTGGGATCACGGGGGTCTTAATTAGAAGTATGTTATATAAATGCCATGGAGGCCTGTCAGGAAGGGATCAGAAGCACCACAGAGTTGCATGTCCCTGCTTTTAGAGGAACTGTTAGAAACTTCATACAGGTGCCAGAGCTCAGACATCCGGCCACCTGTGTTATGAAGCAATTCTCACTCTGTCCTGCAATGGTATGAAAAGCACGTTCTCTCCCTTTGTATCTAAAACAAGAGCCAGGAAATACTATCCCATCGATGGAGCTGGACAGGCAATGCAAGCAACTGGGGCTAGGAGGGGCCCTGGGCAAGTGATCCACTTCTCAGCATGTATCTCCACGTCTGCAGAATAGAAAGGATGACAGCACAGCCTATACAATGGGCCCTGAGTCTGACTCCTAGGCCCTGCCACTTCCCAGCTGGGTGACTCTGGGTAGGCTATGTAACCTTTCTGTGGTTTAGCTTCCTCCTCTAAAAAGGGGATATTAATAATGCCTACTCCACAGTGTTGTCGGGAGGATTAAATAGGTTAATATGTGCAACGTGCTTAGAGCACCATTTGGCACAGAGTAAGTGCTCAATAAGAGGTGATGGTAGTGTGGGAGGTGGTGAAGATGATGAGGAATGTGCAGCACCGGCTGGCAACGAAGTCAGCACCATGGACAGAGCACAGGAGCGCTCAGCGATCGCTGTGAGCATGATGAGGGCCACGCAGCGCTGGCTGCCAACGAAGTCAGCACGATGGACAGCGCTCGGCAGCGCTCAGCCATGGTGGAAGCTGACACAAGGGCCTGACCTTGCTGAGGCCCCCAAGTAGTGATGTGCTGGTCACAGTTTATAAACAGGCTTTCTGGGTAGAGAACTAATTTGGGGGGATTCAGACTTGGGGCATTTCTGAGCAGATGCAGCCCCGTTTCCTTCTTTGTACAGTGGTACTGTGGGAACATGAAAAGAGGCAGCCTGTAAGATACCGGACAGTGGGTGATGGGCTGGTGTGGGCCGTGTTCTACAGCACATCAGGCCCTGTCCTCACCAGCGTTCTAGCACCAAAGACACACCCCAGTGAATGGATAAGAACAGCGAGGCTTAGAAAGGCTGAGTGACTGGCAGGTCTCTTGTGAGCGAGTGATGGAGGCAGGGTTGGACGGTTTCTCAGCCAGCAGAGAGCCTGGCAGGTGGAGGGGTCTTGCTGGGGGTCCCCTCTGTTGTCCTCTGCATGGGCAACAAGCCCAGCCCTCAGGCAGCCTGGGGTTTGGAGCCTCTGCCCCCTAATTGCTGCTCTACCATCCAGACTAGCTTCGGGACCTGCTCTGTGAGTGGGAATTAGAAATTCGTTCCAGACTGAAGCTTGGTGTAATGCCAGCTTCCACCATGAGAAATCGCTCAGGGGGTCGAAAAAAAATCAATCGAACCATCTTTACAATTCTCTGCTGCTAAAAATACAGCAGTGGCCTCCTGTGCAATCTATTACCTTTAAGATGCATCAAACTCGAGAAAAATCACCCTAACAGTCTCAAAATGTTGGTATTAAAGGACATGAGAGGTTGTTTAAACAGGTGTGGAGATGGCACTGGGGGGAAAAGGATCAGAGAAGACATGGGAATTTTATGAGAAAGAGCCTTAAATATCTGAGGGCCTGTTGTCTAAGAGAGAAAATAATGCCGGCTACCTGCTAGAGCTGGATTAGTACCAGGCCCTTTATGTTAATCATTTCTTTATTCCTTACAAATGTCTTTATGATAAGGAATTTGGCCCATTTTACATTCATGGAAATTGATGGCCCAGGAAGTGAAGCAATGAATCTGACCCCAGGTCAGCCAGACCCCAGCACCCAGAATGCTTTTCTGTGGAGCCCAGATTTACAGGGCGGTGTCTATATCCTAAAACCAGATGGAAACTGAACCTCCTTGCGCCGGAGTTAGCACCTACAAGCATTCATAAGCACCTCCTGTGTGCTGGGCTCTGCATTATGTGTAAGGATACAGAGAAGGCTCAGACTGGGTTCTTAGCCTCAGAAAATGGAGAAAGTGGTCATATTAACAGATAAGGAAACCCTAACGTGACCAGGGAGTGTGGGCCCAGAGGGGCTCTGACCAGCCTGGGAGGGGCACAGAGTGGACAGAGCAGAGGTGACCAGGTGAAGGGGCAAACAGGAGCCAGCCTGACTGAGAGGGAAAAGGATGATTGGAGACAAGCAGCAAAGGGCAGAGCACTGACCCCAGACATGTAACATGAAGGGAAACCCAGTGGCCTAAAGGTGTGGGCACAGGACCCCGGGGAGCTGGGCAGGGGCCTGTCACCCACAGCCTCAGGACACTTGAGAGATTCAGACTTTGTCCAGAAGCTGATGGGAAACTGCTGAGAGTTTTAAGCAGGGGACCAGTGTGGTCAGACCAGAGGGTCCGATCAGCCCTTCTAGAAGCTCTGTGGTGAGCTGGCAAGGTGGGATTCAGACAAAGGGCCAGGCAGAAACGGTGTGGCCTGAGCTGGGCCTTTGATGGTGATAGAGAGGAAGATGTGATTCTAGAGCCATTGCAGGGAGAGTGGAAAGGCTTGACGCCTTTTCCCATTTTGTGGGAGAGAGAAAGGAGGGAGGCTGCGAGGGCTCCCGACACTGAGCCTTGGTGACAGACGAAGGCATTGCGCTGGGTATGTGCCTGGCACCCAGCAAAGCCCCTGGAAGTACCAGGTCCCTCTCCCTCTGTTCAGAGCCAATTCTGGAGTTGTCCGAGGAAAGGCCCTCTGAGGGGCGAGGTCAGCTTTCGTCCTGTTAGATGGTCAAAACAATGCCCATATTTTCTCTATTAAAAAAGCTTTCCTTTCTCTTTAAAACCTTTGCTAAAAATCAATTCTGCTTAAGTGGAAAGTGTTCCTGTTTGGACATGAGGAGACGGTAATGCAGAATACTGCCAGTGGCCTGGAGGACTGAACAGCAGCATCAGGACAAGTCAAGACACCAGAGAGCAAGAGTTAAAGGAATGGGAACCCCAGGTCCAGAATCCCCCAGGAGGTACTCCCTTGAAGGGTGCCTCGGAGCTCAGAGCAATTCCCCCGCTCAGCGTGGGTCACAGCTGCCCTTCTGGTCTCTTCCCACATTGCAAATGAAACACCCTTTCTTATTACTCAGCTGCTATCAGACCCATCACTGCACCTGCAACCCACGGTCCTGACACCTTCCCTGCCAGGGGAGGCTGGACTCCATGGGACAGGTGCCAGGTCTCTCTGCTCTGCGTCCCTGCATCTTGTCACTCTGGTGGCCAAGCACCAGCAGGCCATGGTGAGGGCCACGTGCAGTGTGGTTCCCTGATGAACCGGTCTGATCAGGGGACGTCTGCACCACCACAGACTCCTGGAGACTCAACTCAACTCTGCCTCATTGGCACTTACATTCCAGCTCTGCAACCTTCAGCATTCTGAAACACACACACTCCTCCATCTGCAAGGGCTGGGACGTTTTCATATGTTGATCAACTAGCAATTCGTTCTCACAAAATTACAGGCTACACACGGGTTTAACACAGAGGTATGTGGCAGGGTCTGCAGCCAGGTCCCCACAGGATCCCCAACCCACAGAGGCTCCCTTCTAGTCACTAGCCCTCGCCTCCTCACCGGGCTTAGACCCTACAGCCAATCATTATTTCCACTGCCTTGCATACACCGTCAGCCGCACGCCTGCTTATTCACTTGGCAAAACCACCACCCAGCTCACTCTCCATGCACCCCATGCCCGCAGCCACAGCCAAGCGTGGCCAGAGAAAAACACACACCATCAGCCTTGCTGGTCCCACTCCTCCCCCACAGCGTATGTCGCTACTTGCATGCTGGATATTTTACTTGTCTATTATATTCACAGTTCACTGTCTGTCTACTCCAGGAGGGCGGGGGCCTTTATCTAAGTCGGGTATCAGGCACAAGGTTCCTTCACACACGTCTGGGTGGCATCCTTCACAAAGAGCAGTCTAGTGCAAATGGGAATGTGGGCTTAGGGGCTGGAGGTGTGACACTTGCTTGGTGTGGGCTTTGAGCGACTTAACTTGGGCTCTCTGTGACACAGTTTCCTCATCTGTAAAGGAGGATTATGTTAGTATCTACCTCACAGGGTTGCTGTGAAGATGGAATGAGTTAATATGAACACATGTTAAATTAGGCAGAGTCTCACTGTAATTATTATTGTCATTTGCGGTCTGCAGAATAGAGACACCTCAGCAACCTGCCTGCTCTGTCCACTGCAGCCCCCGCTGGGCCAAGCCTCGGCCCCTCCCAGGCCCATGTTCATGTATCAATAGTTCTTTCCTCCTCAGCGGGTGGGGGCTAGAGTCCACCCTATTGCCCCTAGCTTGCCCAGACAGCTTGATGCCTTCAAGCTGGGCTTCTGATACCCCGGTTGTCACTCTAAGCCCTGGGAGGGACCCCAGGGAGGAGGGCTCAGGGAGCCTTTGGTCGACGGTCTCAGGTGGGTCAGCCGTCCCTCCTCCAGGAGGGCTGACCCCAGGACCCTTATCTCGTCCTTCATCCCTGGGGAGGTCCCAGGATGATGAGGGTCACAGCCAGCCTGGGGGAGGCGAGGGGTTGAATGTAACCCTCACAGCTGTGGTTTTAAAGTCTTCATAAATAAACTCAGCACGCTCCCATAGCTGGGCCTCATTCACACTCTGAGCCACAGGGGACTCACCGAAGAAGCTGAACAAAGCAGCAGCCTCCAAGCCAGCTTGCTTACAACCTAGCCAGCCGCCCCCACCCGGAAGCCACCCTGCCCGGGAGGCGATGGCGGGGCTGTGGCAGGAAAGGATACTGAAGCTCCTGTCGGTGATGGCCAGGTGCCAGAGGTTGATACGCAGGTCGTCCGCCGACATGTACGTCTCGCAGTCGCTGTTGACGGAGATGGAGTTGATGTGGTAGGTGTGGCCGTTGGCGAAGACCCTGCGCGGGCTCACCTCCACCATCAGGTCCATGGGCTTCAGCACCGGCACCTGCCGAGGAGGAGGGGCGGTCAGAGCTGGGCGACGCAGGGGGGGTGTCGGGGGCAGGCCACACGGGCCAGATGGACACAGCGGCACCACGCGAGCAAAACTAGAGGCCGGAAGTGCGCCAGTGGGCGTCCATCCTGCACGCGTGGGGAATAAGGCGTGCCACACGGCCAGTGTCCATCATCGCCAGCCCTGCTGGAAAGCCCACCTCCTTTACTTGGCCCCCTGGGATTGGTTCTGAGCCCACCACGTGACTTGAATAAGTGGCTGGACCGCTTGTACCCCGATTTCCTCATTTCTAAAACGGAATGAGAAGATACCATGGCAGAGCCAGACGACTGTCCACCAAACATTTGTGTCCCCTCCACTGGGAAGTGACAAGTGGCGGCCCAGACAGGGACTACATTTCCCAGCTGCCCACAGGACTGCTGCTAACCAATAGGATGTGAGCACAGTGATGCCTGGCACTATAGGCAAAGGTGGTTAAGAGGAGCGTGTGCCTTTTCCACCCTCTTTCCCATCCACTGCAGGAAGGAGAGGACCCAAGCTTTAGGGATGGGGGCACAAGGGATGGAAGGAGACTGTGTCCCTTCAGGAGAGCCATGTGTCAGCCAGGGACAACCAGAAGTGAGACATACATTTCCGCATGCTCCACCCTCAATGCCAGGGCTATATTTACAGCCACCAGAGTTAGCCTAACTCATACAAACTCCCAGAGGACTGGTGTGAGGAGTCCCTGAGACAGCATCAGGTCTTTGCTTTCCTCCATGCTCTGCCTGGAACACTCACCCCCGGCCCTTGGACACCTAGTGAACCCCAACTACTCCTGCAAGACCTGGAGGTAACAGTCCCCCAGGTGTGCAGTGGCCCTGGTAGGTAGGGGCACACACCCAGACACCCCCAGCACACGACACACATCTCCATTAGGGCTCTCAGCATGCACTGTGGTGTGTATCAGGCAAGACCCACAGTCCACCCCACCCCGTTCCAGGTGAGGTCTTCAAAGGCGCAGAGACAGACAGACAGACAGACAGACAGAGCCTCATCCATCTTTCCCAGGTCTGGCCTGGACTCAATGCTCCGGAAATGGGGGCTGGCGTTGCCATCCCCGCATCACTGATGAGAAGACTGGACACTTGTCTAAGTCACGGGGCCAGGAAATGACAGAGTCCGGACCCGCACCCAGTGTGACTGCCCCTGAGGGTATCGTGGTGGAAAGGTGCAGACCCGAGACCTGCCTGCCAGCTTACATCCTGCCCTGCCACTCACTCGTATTACTGTCACTGGGGACCCTACCTCTCTGGGCCTCAGTTTCCTTTTCTGCAAAGGGAACCGTAATGCTGGTGCCTGCTCAGGGCCTTCTGTGAGGATTCCACGAGCTTCTGCCTCTTAGAACAGCGCTCGGAGCACAGTCAGTTCTCAGTCCATGCGAGGTGCCTCCACAGCTGGAGGCTGGATGAGAAAAGGCCCAAGTTCTTTCCCCCTTTCTTCTCCCACAGCCTCGGTTTACAGTGAAGGGCCATCTTGGGATGTGTGTGACACACAAGAAAAATCTCAGATGCTGGGAGAGAAATAAACAGGATTCCCATGGGCCACCGGCTCTGCCGCAAATGCCAGGCCAATCAAGAGGTGATAATTGCATCTTTCCCACCAGACGAAACCCTCGTAGACTTTCCTGGGGCTGGGGGTGGGGGCAGGGGCACCCCAAGTCCCATCACTCAACGTGGAAGCTAATTGGCTTTCCCGCTTTCTCAGAATTTATTTGCGCAATTTGCCAGTCATTTAGAGGCCAACGTGTTTAAACATTTATTTCCTTCTTGGGAACAACATTGATTACCATTTCATATTTACGACAATCCGCTGGATGCTTAGTGTGTGTGCCAGCTAAGTCTTCCAGGAAACGTGAGTCATCTCCATTCCCCTGGTGAGGAAACCGAGGCACAGAGCAGGGGAATGCCCACAGCCAGGATGCGAGCCAGACTGTGGCTCAAATCCCCAAGGCCCCTCAAGTCCTAAAATCCCCGTTTAATACAAGAAACACGAACGTGCTTCCCGCTTGCTGGAACCTTCCACGTTCAACATCTTACCTGTAGGGACGTCACTGTGGACAGGTCCTTGAGTTTCCCTTCTTCATCTTTTAGGTTATAGCCCTCGGGTCTTTTATCACGTTCGGTAATCTTCCATAATTTGATAGTTTTATCTTTAAAAACAGAACAAGTGAAACGAGACCCATGATTCACACTGGCCCAGAGAGGAACATGTACTTCAGTCCACTACATAAGGGTGCATCGGTCCAGAAATTCCTCCACCGTCATCCTGTGCTTGGACACTTAGCTTCCTTTTCATTTTATTCCTACTCAAACTTGCAACGAACACCTCGGCGTACAGAACGTTTGTCTTCTGTCCCTAGCTCCCCACAATTGGTCCTAACGGTGAAATTGCTGGGTCAAAGGATATGACACGTTTAAGGGCCGTTATCAATCTCTAAACTGATTTCCAAGAACACTGGACTAATGTAACTTCCTGCTTTTTTAAGCCCTTCGTTGACGGACCAGAGGGTAACCCATTTTATTTCTGAGCCGGATCCTGCCATACACAACTCAGCTCTCCAGCAGCCGTCAGACGTCTTCTGGAATCCCACCAAGAACTACAAAAGAATGATTGTTAGCAGTTGTTATGGTTAATTTTATGTGTTCATTTGGCTAAGCCATGGGACCCAGATATTTGGTCAAACATGTAGATGTCATGGTGAAGGTAGTTTTTAGATGAGATTAACATTTAATCTGTAGAGTAACGCACATGACCCTCCATAATGTGGGCGGGCCTCCTCCAAGCAGCTGAAGGCCCCAAGAGACAAAAGATGGAGGTCCCCCAAGGAAGAGGGCATTCTGCCGGCAGATGGCTCTTGGACTCGAGCTGTGACATCAGCTCTTCCCTGGGTCTCCTGTCTGGCCTGAGGACTTTGGACTTACCAAGCCTCTCTCACTGCTTGGAGCCAGGTCCTTAAAATAAACTTCTCTCTATACATATTTATATCTATATCTACACACACACACACACACACACACACACACACACACACGTGCGCGCTGGTGGCTCTGTCTCTCCAGAGAACCCTGACTGCTACAGTAGCCATGTTCCTGAGAAGAAGGGAGAAAAACAATTAAACACTTGATAGGTGTCCCAGGTCATGCCCTCAGGAAAGGGTGAAGCTGAGACTTAAACCAAGCGGTGGGATTTGAGGGTGGGGGGTTAGAGGGCTCAAAAGCTGGCTTTTCCTCCAGAGAGGCAGAGGAGAAGGATACATCCCTCTTAAATTAATTTTTTTTAAGCAGCACCTGTGTGGGGCTCAGAAGGCGCCAGCCTGTTCTAAGCCTGTGATGTTATTTCATTTCATCTTCTCAATAACCCCACGAGGCAGGCACCGCCATCGAGGTTCAGAGGAGGAAGTGGCAGAGCTGGGCTGTGGGCCACATCAGGGCCCTGCCCCCAGCAGCCTGTGCTCGGGGACAACCTCTGGCCGCCTCTGCTCCAGCATGGGGAGGCAGAGAGTTTGCCGAGTGTGACAGTGCGCCCAGCACCGCCTGGGCGACACAATCCCGTACTTGGCACAGGAGCACATGATCAGAACGGCAGGAGCCGCAGAGGGCAGGTGTGGGGTCAGGAGGGGCACCTGACTCAGCTAAGAGGTCAGAGAAGGTGACCTCAGTGGCAGGGGACACCCAGTGGAGGCTGAAGGAGTGAGAAGGGAGCTGGCCAGGGGAGGAGAGGGGAAGGCGGGCCTTCAGGCACACAGGTGGGGTGGCAGGATTGAGTCTGACCCATTTCAGAGATGCCTTAAAGGCTGCCCTAAGAGTCTGGACTCCCTCGCGGAAGGCAGGTGACATCATCTTGTAAGACTCCCTCATGCTGCAGCAGCACTGACTGGTCTCGGGGTGCTGGGCAGGTGCCGGGTGCCATCTCACTTTACCTTCCCCATAACCCAGAGGGAGCTGCACAGGTGAGGAAACAGGCCACGGAGCTGGGACAGAATCCAGGCCCGTCCTCCTCCCCAGGCACCTCTGAAGACAGGGTGAGAGATGAAGGATGAGCAGCGACCATGAGACGCGGAGCCTCTGGCCCCGGGCCCAGCGCGGGCCCAGGCAAGATGGCCCCGGGGTCTGCGTCCCCCGAGTGGACCTCGGAGAAGCGGAGTCCAGCCAGGAGCCTCCTCAGGGAGCTGAATGGCACAGCGGCCAGCCAGGCTCCTGAACCAGTGCTCCTGTCACACTACCTTGTGACGACCTCCACTCTGGGTGGCCTGGGGTTCTGGGGTACGGAAGAAGAGTTAAGTTTGCCGCGTGGTCCTGTGCTCCCTTACCTAGCCTGCACCCCAGAAAAAGGAATTCCCAACAGTGCTCATGGTGTTGCTACGTGTGACTGTGGGAATGGCGCTGTGGCCGACCAGGGCAAGGGCTGAGGACGCTGCAGCATGGTCAGTGGGTGGAGCATACACGCTGCCCAGAACATTGCTTTTTAGGAGTTCCAGAGACCTAGAGAAACGCTCACAATGGAAGCGAGGCGAAAAGTAGCATCTGTGATACATGGCTACATCACAGGCAAACGCCTGCAAACACACACACACACACACACACACACACACACACACCTGCACATGCACATGCACATGCTCAGCACACACACACGCACATGCACACGCACATGCTCAGGCATACACACATGTCCGCACACACATGCTTGGGCACACACATGCCTGCACATATCCGTCCTTGGGCACACAGGCACACACACACACATCTGCGCGCGCGCACACACACACACACACACACATGCTCAGGCACACACGTCTGCACACACATGGCTGGCACACGTGCACGCACACGCGCACACAGGCACACCGCCTCACCGTTGGTGGACAGCAGGGAGTGGGCAGCGTTCTGCTGAGGGAGCCATTTGATCTTGTTGATCTTCTCCTCTATCTCCAGGCTCTTGAGATAGTCGAACTCTGGCTCGTGGCTCTGGAAAGTGCTGTAGACGTCATACTCGCCCTGGCTGTGAGGTGCATTTTTACTCTGCAAGGAAACCCAGACAGGGGCCCTGAGCTCCAGGTCATCGGGCAGGGCGGGGCAGGCTCAGGACCAGACCAGGAGGAGCTAAAACCAAGGAGGCCCGACAGCCACGGCAGCTGGGGGCCCAGCAGTGCCAGAGGCTCCAGTCCACCAGGGGTCAAAGGAAACCGCTTTTCAGATGGTCGGTAACTTGCTGTGCGGCCGGGCCAAGCCCCACTCTTAGTCCAAGTAGGGACAACAGCTACAGGCTAGCTCACGTTTACTGAGCACCTACTACGTATGGGACACACAGCTAAGGGCGTCTCGTGCCTTATCTCCTTCTACCCTTGAGGCTCCTCTATGGTGGGTACCATGATCCTCCCCATTTTATAGGTGAGCAGGTGGGGGCTCAGGGGTGAAGGCACCTGCCAAGGTCACGTGTCCACTAAGTGCCGCCACTCCCTCCGCTGGGGTCTGTCTGACACGGAGGCTCTGACATGCTCCTCACATCCAAATGTCCAGTGGGGCCTGACTTGAGGAACAATCGCATCTGAAGCAGATTTTACACGGGGGCAGAATATCCCGCAGTGTCAGACCTCAGACATCGTCCCCCCACTTTCCTCGATGGGTGGGGCCCATCCTGGTGCAGGAGGCGGAGCTCCTCATAATAAAGGCCCCTCCTGGTGAAGCCTCCAGAATAGGGAGGGGATGGGTCCATCACAGGGACCACTCCCCACTAAACAATTCAAGTTTCTATGACAACACGAAACTACAACAAGAAGCATATCCTCCTGGGAGCAAATCCAAGACCTTCAACCAAGCACACCTTCACGTTTTCTGTTAATTTTTAAAAAGTATCTGTTGTAATATTTCTATACCTGTCTTTCTTCTGGAAAGCTTTAAAGTTCTTCAGTAATTTTGCCTCTAATTCACTTCATCGCCCATGATCACTGGCTAAGACAAAGGTCACAGGGCCAGAATTAAGAAAAAAATTAAAGGAGAAAAACTCAAAACCGAGAAACTTGCATCTCAATTTAATTTCTGTCTGCAGTTTGGCAAAAAGAAAGCTTGGATTTGCAATCCCCGGTGGGATACACTGGTCCTTTTTGTGAAATCAGCACCTCCAGCCACAGGGCCGTGTTTCCAGCTGTCCCCTTTCTGGCTACGCGTCCCCAATAAACTACTTCAAACCCTCTGAGCTCCGGTCTCCCCAGCTGTAAAGCGAGGATGATGGTAGCAGCTAATCACACCACTAGGGTTGTCGTGAGGGAGGTGATGCGAGTGAGCACAGGTGAAGCCAGACCCCAAGGAACCTCAGCGCTGGGGACAATGCTCTGGAACTGACAGAAGAAGGGTCCCCCAGCGCCTCTCCTTTCTCCCCCTCCCTCTTTCATCCTTCCCTCTCCCTCTCCTCCCCCACCTACTTCTTTAGCATATAATCCCGGCACCTGTTTGAGGCTGAGAGGCCCCCTCTCAGAGGCAGGGTGCTGAGTAAGCAACAGACCACACACACACGGTCTTGGTTTCAATCTCTGGTCTTTGCTCACTAGCTGGGTGACTTCTCCAAGAGTCCTCATCAGTAAAATAGGGTGTCAGGCTCCACCCTCTGAGGTGGGCAATGAGAGTGTAGCAAGGTGTCTGCACATAGTAGGTGCTCAACAAATGGGGCCTTTTTATCACGAGGTTCTTTAGTGGCTCAGAAATGGTGCCGCTGGGCAGGCTGGTCCAGGTAAGACGCCCCCGTCTTACCGAATTGTGATGGGCAACAAAGGTCACTGGGCAAGGGCCCCGGAGGTGAGCAAGACCACCAGCCCCAGCCTGGGGGCTGACCCCAGGAGAATCTTCCCCTCTTCCCAGCTGTGGCCAGGACAGCGCCCGCTCACCCGGGCATTATCCGAGGGCAGCAGCTGGCTCTGCCTGTCCTGCTGTCTCTCTGGGGTCCAGGACACTGTGAGTAATCAACCGACATCTGCTGAGTGGACCCAGTGGACTCCCTCCCCCGGACCTGCCGGGTCCCATCCCTGCACCCAGCACACCCCTTCCATCCAGCCCTGGGGTCCTGGGGGGAAGGCAAGTGAGTGTCTCCTAAGAGGCCATCCTGGTAGGACGCCTCGGGGCACCCTGTGGGACACAGCCCCCCACCCCAGGCCCCGCCGCACCTCTGGTTCCCGCTGGAAGATGACAACCCGGCCACCCTTGTCGCCTGTGGCCAGCAGCTCTCCGGTGTGGTTGAACTCCACGGTAGAGATGATATCGGCTGCGGGGGAGACAGGAAGGAGTGGCTCATTAGGACCCCCGTGCAATTCAACAGAACTGCACCCACCCTGTCCCCCAGAGGCCCCCGCACCCCTGAGACAGTCGCCATCAGGCAACAGGAGCCCGAGGAATCAGAGCACAGATGAGGGGCAAACTGGTCCCACCGCAGCCCCCTCCCCACTGGCTGCAGGACAGCGACCTGTTCTTGGGCGTGTTCACTCTTTCCTGCTCCTTCCTTCCTTCCAGAAGCAGTTTGGGGGTTTCATCGTATGCCAACCAGGTGACTGGGATGCAAATCAGACACTTAGGGGGCCACCGAGACCAACTGTAGCCCTCCCCACCCCTCACCTAGCTCCCCATGGACAGAACCCCCGTGATCTTCACGTTCCTGGCCTGGACTCTATGGGCACAAAATCTCTAATCCTACTTGAGCACAGTGGATCTATTGGGTTGTTGGAAAAGTCATGACGTATTTTTTCTATGTTTTCGTTGCAAAAATGCGTCATGTCTTTTCTGACAACCCAATAGTTTCAAACAAACCGCACATCTGACCACGCCTCCCAGCGCGCCGGGTGGGGCGTTTACCTGGCCACCCCTACTCTATTCTCCTCACAGCAGCCAGGGTGAAGGTTCACCTGAGTCACGGGGTGTCTCTGCTCAAAACCCTCCACTGGTCCCCAAACCAAATCCTGATCCCTGAGCTAAATGCATCTCATGCCTCATCTCCTCCTACCCTTGAGGCTCTCTGTGGCCCCTCCCCCATCCTCTGCGGCACCCCCCTGCCCCCCCAGTCTTAGGTGATGGCAGCTGCATCCTTCTGCTGGCTTGGGCCCAAGGCTTAAAGTCACACTGACTCCCTCCCTCTCCCTCTCTCTCTCACACCCCACATCTAACCCCACTGGCTCTGTCTTCACAATCTATCCACTCCAACCCCTCCTCCCAGCCTCTCCCCTGGGTGGGTGACTGAGGCCGCCTCCTATGGCTGTCCTCCCCTCCTCCCTGCCCCAGCTACAGGCTAGCCTCCACAGGGCGGCAAGAGAGAGCCCACTCGAAACCCTCCAGGGGGCCCCATTCTGCCTCAGAGTAAAGCAAAGGTCTCAGAGCGGTCTGAAGCAGTTTGCAATCACCTCCCCCAAGGCAAACCACATCAGGAGCCCAAACCTCCCCCTCTCCTGCCCCTGCGCATGAGACCTGGCACGCTGACCACCTTGCACTGGTAACCTGCCCCACACCTGCCTCTGGGCGTGGCCCTGTGATTTGCCTTGGCCGGTGACGCCAGCAGACAAGCTAGCTATCCTCCACCTCTGCCCCTGCAGGAGAAAACCCTGCCCAGACTAGCTCACGGTCCCGGGAGGAGGAGGCAGGAGGACATGTGTAACGCAGCCACCCCCACTCCCAAGCCACCCCTGGACAGGAAGGGTCCTCGTGGCCCAAACAAGCCTGTATCAGTGGAATCGGCAGATCCGTGATAAAAAACGTTTATTGTTAAATGCCAGGGAGTCCTGTGTTTTTAACTCAGGAAAAGTAACCGACTCCTTCTCCCCAGCCCCGCCTTGCTCTTCTACTCCTGACTCTGGGCTCCTTGCTTTTCTCCAAAGTCCTGGCTACCTTTTGTGTCAAGACCCGTTCTCTCAGCCTCGAGTGGTTTTCCCACTTTTATTCAGCAAATGCCTTTTTCTCCACTCTGAGCCTATCAGAGCAGCTCCTGACTCCGGCCCTGGTCTCCTGAGAAAGGGTGACCGATGGGCTGGATGTATTCCTCCACCGAGAGAAAAGTGCATTTCATTAAACTTAAAAAGACAGACAAGGTAAGGAAAGCAGCTCTTTGGGAAAAGCTCGCTGAGTGCGGGGCTGGGAGTGGGGTCCGGACCCCGCTGCCTGACACTGGCCCAGGGCCACAGGGGAGCCCCACGCCCCAGCCCCAGCCCAGCAGCGTCGGGGTTCCCTGACATGGCGCTGGTTCTTGCTATTTCCCATCAGCACCCCCTAAGGGGAAAAGAGCAGGATATAACATTGTATATAAAATGTTTTTAATTATATAGACCAGTGATCACAGCCGTGTTAAATAGCAAACTGGGCAGAGGGGAAAAAGCTGAACAGAATTTTCCATCACGTTAGCAGAGGTTGCTTTAAGGTGCTTAAAATATTTTCCTTCCCTTTCCACTTTTCTGCGTTTTCTAGGTTTTTCTGTAACGAATGCATATTTTAATAGCTGTGTTGAGGGATAATGGCTATACAGAAAAATGCACATATTTAATATATACGACTTGACGAGTTTGGACATATGCATAATTTATATTATTTTTATGGTGGAGAAATAACAATGCTGTTAAATTAAAATGGCAGTGTAACCATCGGTACCCAGAGCGAACATGGTCCATAAATGCCAGGCGGTTACCACAGTAACAGACACTAACGTCTGCAGGCAATTTACAATTTATGTGTCAGTTCCGTATCCATGGCCTCCTCTGACCCTCACGCTAGCCCCGGAAGGAGGTGTAACTATGATGTCTACTGGTGGCTGAGCAGATGGAGGTCCCTGCCTGGCGATATCCTCCTGAGCAGCTCGTGGACCAATTGGAAGTCCTGGGTTGGATCTTGGCTCTAATGCCTCGGCTGGGTGGCCTTGGGTTGGTCACACCACTTCCTGAGGCTCAGTGCTGTCATCTGTAGCATGGCTACAGTGGAGTCTATCCAGGAGTAGAAGATCAAGTGAGACGATGGAGGTGAGAGGGCCTGGGAAGGAGGGAGGACCAGGACTCTAAGGAGGGATCAAGCACCAACATTTATCAAGCAGAAAGCGAACCCTCTTTCTCATCTTTGATTCTGGCCTCCGCAGAATTCGCAGCGGCCAGCTCAGGAAGGTGCGCGATGAATCCATGGCTAAGCTAAGGCTTAGCTTTGGGGGTCCTGACCGCCAGCCCCTCCAGTCCTCTCCTGCAAATTTCCGGAACAACTACTGGACCTCAGGCCGGGGCATTGCTTCCTCAGGCCCTGGGCTGGTGGATGTTTAACATCTATTCATTGTTACAGTAACTGTCTTTAAGGGATAGTCTTAGGAAAAGTTACCTCCCTGAGGGCTCGAAGCTCTCATTCATAAAACCATGAAAGCAGAAAGCCCATCCTCTCATCTAGGAACGTTTGACTCACCTCCAGCTCCAAATCACCTCCTCCAGGAAGCCTTCCTGGACAGCCTCTCTACCAACCACATTCAGTAGTCTCGCCTACAACTAGTCTCATGCCATTGTGTGACCCTCATTGTGTGCTGAGCCCTACCTGTATGGGGGTCCCTGTGTCCGTGATGCCTCTCACCTTGACCATGGAAGGCAACCCAGTACCCCGGAAGTGTGGTTGATTATATCAACGCACATTTCTTAAGCACCAGGCACTGTGCTCAACCTCTCCACAGGAGTCTCCACCAGTCACTTCTGGTCATAGCCTAGAGCTTCCTATCAGATCATCAGATCAGCTCTCTCACTAATAGCAACTCTAAACCCTCAGCAGATAAACAACAAGGCACAGCCACCTGAAGGCCCTGACAGGGACTGAATGCAGGCAGACCCTACAGGGCAGTGGGCAGCTGGGACTCACTGGGTACATTCCACTTTTTCATCACGTTTAGCCTAAGGACAGGCCCCACGTGGCTGCTGAAACTTACATAGAAAGTCATACTCTTAAGGATCAATAAACTAGAAGACAGAGTGTGGGGAAACCCTAGTAGCTAGAAAGTGAGGGGGGTAAATCCTGGAAAGGGGGGTCCACAGAGGGG